GATAATCAAATAGTAGACAAAAAAAAAGCAAGACAACCACTTTAAGATCTCATAAATATACATATATGAAAGTGATTGAAGAAAGAATTACTGAATACACAAAAATAATTATGTAACTGGTGTTATATCAGAGCTGCTATGAGGACTAGAGAAACACTATTGTACTCTGATTTCCTTGCTGAAATGCGAGTCATGGGCTGTTTTTAAATATTTGACATATTAACATTTCATTACATTGAGAATTTTTAAGTTAAAGAACCAAACAGGTCCATACATGAAAGAAGATAAAGGGAAACTAAAAGCAAAATAAAATTATTGTAAAATCAAAAGAATACTCCAGCTAGTCATTACAAGAACTGCATATTCTTCTTCTTCTAGCCAGCTTTATTGCTGCTGAGCTGTGAGTTCTTTTGCAGACTGTGCTAAGGAAAAAAGTGTGCTGTTTTCTTCAGTTGTTCAGCACTGCCGCACAGGGTGTTGGTTATGTTGGGCTGTAGTGGAAGTAGGGTCTGCCTAAGGTGGATTAGGGAGGGGCATTCAAAGAGGATATGGTTTACGGTTTCAAAGGGGTGGGCGCAGTGTCTGCAAAGGGGGAGTTGTGTGGAGTTTATTTTGTTCAGGTGGTAATTTAATAGTGGTGTGTGTTCTGTTCTTAGTTGGAAAATTGTAGATTGTTCTTTGCGGGGGAGGGAGTTAATACTGTCCAGTTTGTTAGGCGTAGTCATTTCTTTGTACATGGCTCTGCTTGTGTTTCCTGATGCCCATTGGTTGAGCCACTCCTCTTTGTGATTGTTGACTAACATTGACCTTAGGGTGAGGTAGTTAACAGGTCTATCTGGTTGTTCCATGGATGAACCTGCCTTTGATAGCTTATCTGCCTTTTCATTTCCCATGATGCCAATGTGTCCAGGGATCCACTGTAGTGTGATATTGATATTTAATTTTGATATCATCTGATGGATTATCACAATGAGTGTTGTCAACTCTCTTGGGCTGTTTGAGGTGCTGCTGTTAAGTGCTTGCAGAGTAGATTGGGAGTCTGTAAAGACAACAATATCTGATGGTGGCTGCACTCCTTCATATAATTTGTTTTCCACTGCCTGTAGTGCTATGGTAATTGCCTCAATTTCGACTTGGAAGTTTGAGCAGTAATCGTCACATGGTGCGCTTTTCTCAAAGTCTTTATTTTTAGGGAAGACCAGGAAGGCACCAAGACCAGCATTGATGGTGGCTTTGAAAGCCGATTCGTCTGTATAAATATGGATAGCTGTTTTTTGATAGCTTTCAATTGTTTCAAACGTGTCTACTTTGAGCTCCAGTGGATTTGATTCTTTTGTTAAGGTGTTATTTAGTAAATGTGTTTTGATGGTTGATTGTTTGTAGTTTAGTCCGGGTGTAATGTTTGAAAATCTGGTAATTTTTTTCTGTTATTGGGTAGGTGGTGTTTTAGGGCTAGTTCGTCAGTAAGTTGGATCAGAGTCCTTTGCTTTTTTTGGTTGTTTTTCCTATTTCTCTGTGTTAGTAATTAATTTGGATTATCGTCCTCCAACCTTCTGTATCTCTCAATAGCTTCTAATGCTGCTCTGTTGCGCCTTAACTTAAGAGGTTCAATATTGGAGTCTTATTTCACAGGCTGCTATGGGAGTAGCTCTCATACCTCCACTAATTAGCCCCAAGGCTTGGTTTTGGATTGTGTCTAATGATAGGTTTTGTTGTCAGCTACTTGTATCAGTTATCCATTACAGATCTGATGTATCCAGTGTATCTTAAGGTTTTCTTTTCAGCTCCCCAGGATGTTCCTGTTAGGTGTTTTATTATGTTTAATCTTTGTGATGCCTTTTCTTTTAAATCTGCCATAAAGTGTTTTAGAGACAGTCTTTGGTCTAGTTTTACACCAAGATATGTTGGATTTTCTTCTTTATTTATTGGCTGTGAGTCTATTTTTAGGATGTAGTTTAAGATCAAAATAGATTCCAAATAGTCAATACAAGAAGTACATCACAAAAATAAATTAGATTACAATTAATCAATGCAAGAAGTACACATAAAAATGCAATGTACCTCTAAATATATTCTAACCATTCAATACAAGAAGCATGTATGTAAAATAGAAGATCAACAGATCAAACAATTCCTAAATTGAATGAAATAAAAAAAACTACAATAAAGTTGGAAAAGAACTACACTGCAAAACCTATGGGAAATAGGGAAAAAGCCTTGATGTCAACAATCACTCTTTCCAAGTAGAGTCAAGTCTTTGTATAATATGTCACATGCAATTTCAAATTTGGACATGTCATAGTCAATCGCTACACTACAATCCTCATCAATCTGCCAGAATGCCACCACATACACATCTTTTGTTCCTGCTTTGAGACTTTCAATCCTGCCACTGTAGAGTACAGGGCCATTATTGTACTAATAGTGGCAGATCAATCTGTCATGCACAGTACCAGACAAAACTTCACATGTCATTCAAAATGTCTTCAGTTACTTTGGGAAATAATGTCCTTATTTCATTGATGTAATTTTCTTTTTTTAATGTTTTTTCCACTTTTTTACATTCCTTCTGCTCCTTTTGCAGACACTTTTGTTCTGCCCTTTTCACCATCTCTTTAGTCATCTCTGAATGACTCAAACGTTCAGCCTGCCTTCTTTGATGAGAAGCACCAATGGCCCATTCAACCACCTCTTTCTTAGCTGAGGGAATCTAAATAGGCTAGAGTTTTATTTTTTTTACCACAGATTCTTGAGGAGATGTAGCATGCTGTTGCATTAGGAGCAATTTTCTTAGCTGCACTATACACACCAATCACCTCCTCAGAATCCATGTTGTGTAGTCTAGCAGATTCAGTCTCAGTGCTCAGCTCATTCATCACATTCATTTAAAGATATCTTTCATGCTGCCTATTGATAACTTCTGCAATTGAAGACAAGCTGGCTTTTATCATGCTTTTCACTTCCTCATCCTGAGGGCAGAGCAAAAGTGTCTCCAAAACAATATCGTTGACATCAAGGCTTTCATTAAAGAAGTCTAGCCGCCTTGTAAAAACACTGAATGGAAATTCCAAGCAATGATTTACTTGGGCTAGAACATCTTTAAGGACTGTGATGCCCTTAAGATGAGAAATTGTTTGTCCACCAGGTGAAGTGTAAAATTTTTTCATCCAAGGGCTTGTCAACAGTTTCCCTATTAAGCCCATGATATACAGTTGTTTCTTTGCTGTTTCATTTTTGAGGTCACTGCATAAGAGCTCTTTCAGTTTTCTACATGAATGGGATGATTTTCAATATGATAAAGAATTGGTCATAATGAAGGACCAGTAATCCACAAATATAGAAAAATATATGAAGGTTCCCCTATATCGTGGAATAAAGCCCTTCATCATTTAAAAACAAAGTAAATCCTTTGGGATCACCCTTGCCATTTTCATAGCGCAATTTATTTAGTTGTACAATAATGTTACCAGCTAGGCAATCATCCCCAAAAAGGTTACCATTTTCTCTCTGCATAGATTTCAATGCTGCCCTGCACCCACTTGCAATAGTATCAAGTGGGTGGAGGTGACAATGAAGCTCATTTAAAGTTTTGTCCCATGACTCACATAACAGCCTAATTGCTTTATGGTTAACAAGCTCTATCAGAAAGAGTGTTAGTGATATTTTTTATTATAATACCCCGGCACTTGTGTAACTCAACTTTGTGTAAATCAGAGTACACTTGAGATAGATTGTTAATGGACTGGCTAATGTGTCTCTCATAGTCCTCGGCCGTCCCACCACTTAATTGATTTAAAGCAATAAAGTAAGTATTAGTTCAAGTTGATAAATGAATGGCATTGACATGAACACCCTCCTGTGTTGTAGCATCAAACCCAAGAGTAAGGTTTGGGGTGTCCATGGCAACCTCAGCAGCTTGTCGCTCTGATATAACACCAAGTTCCCTCACCATATTTTCAACAGAAGTTCTGACAGGAACTCTGTCAACTTCCAAACCTATTCGCTCTAAGAAACTAGTAATAATGGAATGGACACAAGAAGTAGGGACATTGTGGTGTATACAATCAAATACTATAAGTCTGGCAAAATAATCATATTTGTTTTTGTTTTCTTAAATAAGATAACTTTGTCTTCTTCTCTTTTATTGTGTCTTCAAGAAGTAGTTTTTCATGTTGAAGGGCTTGGATAATTGCATCCCTTTCAGCAACTTCTTTAACTGAAGGCATTGTCTTTAATTTTTTTTTAAAAGCTCTTGTGTTCTTTTTTTTTTTCTTTTAAATATAAATGTTTCATTTTGGAATGCTGTTTTCTGCCAGATTCAATAGGTATGTAATTTTTTAACATAGCGATGCGTACATTTTTGCATCTTATGGTTTGCTTTAAATTTTTTATTAATATTGGTTGACATTTACATTTTGATTTTAATTTTAATATATGAGGTTGTACTTGGTTGTTCTGATGGCAGAAATTCCATATGTGCAACTGAAGTTGAGTTATTCAAACTACAGTCTGGATTGGGTACTGTTGAGGCAGGGTGGAAGCAAAAAACTTCAGAACAAATTTGTTTCAATAAAGGTAATGTTTTTGAAAGATTTGCCTAATATTTATTTAAAGTTTTGCGAATGAGTTCAAGAATCTGTAATTTTGTAACTGTAACTCCTAATAGAGATTTTACTTGCTGTACAGTAGTAACAGGCGAAGATTGATTTTGTAGATAAATTAAAAGGACATGTCCTTTAAGGCATAATTTTATTAGCAGATGCCTCATCTGATCCATGTTGGGGCAAATCACTAAAATTTTAATTTTCAATCAGATACTTGAATATTATTGTGTCTTCTGCTTTAATCTGCATCGTCTTCTTGGCCTTTTCAGGCATGATTTGTTGATATTGATATATATCTGTATTTAATGATAGATAAATCATGCATCTAGATAGATTAGTCAGGCTACTTTAGTAGGTCTATGTTTTAATTATTTTAGTCTGAGAAAATGATAAGACCATATGATTACATACATCCCCATAGTCCATAGTTTAAATATATAAACTATGGACTATGGAGATGTATGTAACATAGGTTTTACTAGGGTAGACCTATGCATGACTACTATACTCAGTCTATAGAAGTATATAATTTAGATAAATTTTTAATATTTTACACTACATACAGTACTATTTTAGTTAAATTAATAGATCTATATAAGTAAATCTATATCTATCTAGTTCTAAATAGAATAGATCATCAGATGCTAGGTCTATAACTTAGTTCTATTAAAAAAAAATTATTCAATCTGATAGATCTAGAATATTCTCTACTATGCTATTTGAAAGTATTTCAATGACAATATATTACTACATAATAGATCTAGATAGATGTATTAGTATTAGCTATAAAAAAGACCTGATATAAAAACTATTCACTAAAATAATTAGATATAAGTCTAAATCTATAGATTAATAGGACATGACTAGATCTGTCCAGAGTCTTGATCAATCTTAAAGTAAATGTCTATACGTCTGCTAACTGCTAGATCTAGAAATGGCTTAAAAATAGCCACGCCCACTGGCACCACTGCAAAAAATGATCATAATAAGCCTTGAAAAAAAATGAATATAAAAAAAATACAACCTAAAAATAAATTTTTTAATTGAACAAGCATATGGATACATCATCTAAAAGATTTTAATATTTTTTAGACAAACACCACTTTTAATTACCATATAATTTGAGATAATTCATGGTTATCACAAACTATCGCCATTGACTGCCATGTTAATTACAAATAAAACAGTTGATCTTACAAAAAAATTAAGAGAAAAAAAAATAATGATAGATTTTATGAAACTAAAAATAAATTGTAGAAGAATAATTTATCTAAGATTACTCTACAAAACTAAAAAAAGAAGTTTTTTTTTATTTTTTGCTAACTATCGCATAAACATGAAACACATGCAATTTCAATAGGCTTACATCGCTATCTGGGATCCACAATTACAGATCTTATGACCTGTCTCTAGAAGAGGAGATAAAAAAACGCATAGGGAAGGCTGCCTCGACCTTCGATAGACTCAGGCCAAGAGTTTAGGAAAACCATAAGCTAACTACAGTGACCAAAATGGAAGTCTACAAGGCATGCGTTATGAGTACACTGCTGTATGGCAGTGAATCATGGACCACCTACGCAAAGCAAGAGAGAAAACTGAACTCATTCCATTTGAGATGTCTCCGTAGGATCTTGAATGTCACATGGAAAGAAAAAGTGTGCAATACTGAGATCCTTGAGCGATCAGGTATTCCCAGCATCTTTACAGCCCTCAGACAAAGGACTTGGACATGTTCGCCGGATGGAGGACAAGCACATCCCGAAAGTCATCCTCTATGGTCAACTCACAACTGGCACAAGAAAAACTGGTCGCCCCCACCTCCGTTACATAGATGTAATAAAACGTGACCTCAAATCAGTGAACATCAATACTGGCAATTGAGAAGACATAGCTCTAGACCGCAACAGATGGAGAGAGACCGTGACCAAATAAGCTATGGACAGTGAAAGTACATGGGTCTCAGCTCAGGAAGAAAAACGTACCATCCGAAAAATGGCCAGCTCATCTACCACCGAAGCAAAAGCCACCTTAACCTGCGCTATCTGTGGACGGGAGTGTCTCTGAGATGAACCATAGTCATTCTACGACTGAAGGAGGCCAATGATGAATGACATCGCTAGGACTCAAATGAGCAGCGACAATGTTTATACCGTGCCGGAAGGCTGTGTTATGTCATGTGACATACCTACGTGGCCGCCTCAGTTGAAGATTTGGTTCAGTGTTATATGTATAATTGCCACTTTACTTTTGAGTCTTCTACTTCTATCCTGAAGTCTGAAGGCTTTCTAAATTTAGTGAATTTACTAAAGGCTTAGTAAAGGTGTTACTCTAACTCTAGTCAAATGTGAATATTCGTTTGTTATGAATCTCACTGGTCAATTTGTGACTTCCGGTTTGTAAATGTTTTCTTGAGTTGAGGGGCAAGGCCGGACCTACAGATTGCGGGGCCCTATGCGAAACGGATTGCGCGGGCCTAGTCTGGGTAGAGATAAGATAAGATATATATTATAATAAATATATTATAAGCCAGGTCAGAATTTTTGTTAAAAAATAAATTCGTCATTGCATTTTATTTATACCTTACTAAGTGCTAAATCACGGCCAAAGTAAATTACGAGCCATCTAGACATACAATTGAAGGTAGTTTTCAAAATATCGCTTTTTTTTTTTAAGAGATCGAGATAGATCTAGATTTAGATTTAGATCTAGATATTTACATGCTACTGGCTATTACAGTAAATTAAGTATTGGAACTTCCTGTTTTGGTTTCAATTCGCCTTATTATTTTTATTAAATGAAAGTTGACAAGGCCGTTTTTTTTTTTGTTTTTTTTTTTACGCGATTAGGATCGACGTTTTCCATATTTAATGGCACCCCAAAATTACAATGTCTATTTTTCAGGACATATTTTTAGTTTTCATGATAATTTCAGGAGATCTACATGATTTTTTTTTTCGTATACTTGGCATTTATGGAGATTTCCATAAGCTCCTGGAAAGTCAGGAGGAAAGATATTATTAAGCATTGTACGTAGATATTTTAACAAATACATAATTATATACATTTAATCATGGAATGGATTCACTTTCTACTTGAAGTCTTTCTTTAGTTTTCACTTAAGAAAATAAAAAAAAAAAACAATAAATCTACTTATAACTATTTTTTTTCATCTTAGTTTAGTGTGCTTGATTTGATGAGGACCAGTAATTTGCGATGGCCACTAATTATATGCATAGTACTACAAATGTCTCAACAGTTTTCTGGCATCAATGCTGTGAGTTTAATATAGATAGTTATATGTCAATACAGTCGATAACCTATTTATTTAGAATTGATACTGATACATTGCTATGATAGCTTTGCTTCTTTTAATAAACCTAGATGGGACTTGGTTTGCTGGTTTGAGTTCATGTCCTTGATCATTGGTTTTTATGTGATGCAATGAGAGATTTCAGTTCAAGTTGTTCTCTCATAGGTAAAATACCTAGATATACCTAGATGGTAGGTTTCCATTTGAAGAGTTGTAATCCTTTTGGGTTGGTAGATTTTCATTCGAGATTCAATTTGAGCAGACATGTGTTCCTGAAGTGCTTAGCAGTAAACTTAAAAAAAATATCCCTCCATATAAAATATTTACAATTCAGATCAGCAATAAACACTTTACCAATACAGATATTATAAACTAATCATTAAAAAAATGCACTCAAATATTGAAATATTTTTTTTAAAATACTTGTTTGCTCTTATACATTAAGCTACAGGCTAAGGTTTAAAATTCAGAGTGAAACACATCACTATTTTGGTTAAAAAGAAAAGACTTTTAAAAAAAAAAAAAGTTCAGCCTGTAAATGATAAAACAAATAATTCTATACTTTTCAACTTCAGGTGGTCTTCTACTCTACAAGTATTTTTATCTCTACGGTAGCCACAGGTGTTGTAAAAGTCATGATGACCTTCATATCTGCCCTGATCATGGACCGGGCAGGCAGAAGAACTCTGCACATGATTGGCCTCGTGGGCATGTACTGTATCTCCTCAGTAGTACTAGTTGTTTGCCTTTCACTACAGGTATGTATAGATTACTTAATTAGAGCCTCCCACATCATTCGGTGCATTGGGCAGCAAGCTGTTTCCATAAAAATCAATCTTTATGTATAGATGGCATTTCTTTGTTCTTTTTAAGCTAATTTTTGTTTATAAAAAACTACAGGGCTACTATCCCTTGGTCTGTTGGACAGTTGGGGCACCATGCAAAATCTGTCAACCATCTTTCTCCATTTCTCTCTGTCTCTTTCAGTGTCCATTCTTTTATGTTGTCTTCCCATTGTTTTCTCTGTCTGCCTCTTCTTCTTTTTCCTGGTACTGTTCCCTGAAGGAAGGTTTTTGCAAGTCCTAAAGACCATAGAGTTTTAGTTTGCTACTATTACAATTTCTTAAAATCCTGTACTTAAGCTGATAATTTTTTGCCCAGGCTATCATACATAAGCATTGTGGTTGTCATCATCTACACCTGTCTCTTTGCTACTGGACCAGGTGGGTTTAGTTTGAAGGCAATTAATTCAAAGCAGTTCATAAAAAAATATTTTAATATCTACCTGATCATATGGTATGCATTTTAGACTGTCATCTCCATGGTCCCAAGTTTGAACCCTGGACCTCTGCATACCTGCTGTCTATTGGGAAGTTTGGGCTAGGACGTAATAATCTTCATTTCTGAATGCATCTTATTTACGAATATGTAAAATTGTTTGTCATACGATGCCATTCTAGCTGGTTCCAGTTGTGATGGAGTTTTTAAATTTTTAGCTGAGCCTTTCATCTCCAGGGGTTTCTTACCCTGGACTGTCTTGCAATTGCTTTTGGTGTCTTCTTCATGACCCTAATTATTGACTGATTCATTTTTAAGTAGATAATTTATAATGAAATACATATGCAATAGAAAAAACTTAAATGAATGCATTAAGACGAAAAAACATGCAATTCAGTATCACACCCACATTTGTTCATTAAGTTTATGTCATGTTAAGAGCTTACTTAGAAATAGCATTTGGTATTATAAAGATGCCTGGAAAGATTTCCAAATTGAGTATATATGAGAACTGTTCTGGTTTTCGAAGATGACGGTGCCAAGGGAATCTCCAATCGCGGGGCCCCTCAGGCGATAGGGGCTGGGGAGGTTTCCCCACTTGCCACCCCCTAAGGCCGCTACTGGGCATGGGCGTAGCCGGGGGGGGGGTTGGGGTTCAATAATGTTCCCTTTTTCTTCTGATGCCAGGCATCAAATCCATAAGCTCGTATCGAAACTGTCATTAGTAGTCATATCTTTGACATATGCGCTGATAAAACACTATTTACATTTATTAATTGTATTTAATTTTTTTTTTAATTTTCGGTGAATCATTAATTTTTGACGCTCACATTCATGATTACAGTAATCTAGACTATAGATTCTAAAATTCATTAAAACTATACAT